TCACTTTGTCACCTTCAGTAGAGTGCCCTGGCATCATAGCTCACAGCAACCTCAAATGCTTGGGCTCAAGTGATTCTCTTGCCTCAGCCTCTCGAGTAGCTGGGACTACAGCCCGCCAGAATGCCCAGTTATTTTTAAGAGGCAAGGTCTTGATCTTGCTCAGGCTGGTCTCGAACCTGTGAGCTCGCCTCAGCCTCCCAGAGTGCTAGGATTACAAGCATGAGTTGAGCCATAGCACCTGGCTCTGAACCATTTATATGTACTGTTTTTTTAACTTTTAAGAAACAAAAAATGACCGCCAAAGCCCAGGAGTTGGAGGTTGCCGTGAGCTGTGATGTCACAGTATTCTACTGAGGGTAATAAAGGGAGACCCTCTCTCTAAAAAAACAAAAGCAAAAACAAAAAATGAGATCCCAGCTTAGTGCCTGTGGCTCAAGAGGCTAAGCACCAGCCACATACACCTGAGCTGGCAGGTTTGAATCCAGCCTGGGTCCGCCAAACAATGAGGGCTGCAACCAAAAAATAGCCAGGTGTTGTGGTGGGTGCCTGTAGTCCCAGCTACTTGGGAGGTAGAGGCAGGAGAATAGCCTGAGCCCAGGAGTGGGAGGTTGCTGTGAGCTGTGATGCCACAGTACTCTACCCAGGGGGATAGCTTGAGGTTCTATCTCAAAAAAAAAAAAAAAAAAATGAGATCCCAAAATTTTTTAGTGATAGAGTTAACATTCATACCTAGGTCTGTGTGATCCACTCTCTCTCTTAACCACTGCACTGTGCTGCCATCTACTTTCTAAACACAACGTAAGTTATCAGGAGAATATTTTCTAGGGTCTTAGGCAACTTCTTTTAATTCTTTAAACATATAGTAAAAGTTCACTATTTTGGATAAATTGGGGAAAAGGAATGAGAAGTTCTGAATCAGTTGGTTTTAGAAAGCCGAAATAGGTCAAAAACATTTTTAGAAATGAACTGTCCATAACAAATAGAAAAGAGCTATCAGCTTGGCACCTGTAGCTCAGTGGCTAGGGTGCCAGCCATATACACCAGAG